AGGCCAGCACACGTTTCGATCGGTACAGCGCTTATCACTCTATCGGGACCTAGACGATTCGCTGTGCAATGCGTATCACCAGATTTCCAAGAGAATATTGAGAGTCCATCGATATCCAAGAGACGGAGCTGGGTCACTGTTCAGCAGGAAACACCAGCCTCCAAATCTCTTCTACGCTACGGAAGCACAAGCAACTCGAAATTGCACACACGACGACTTCCCTGCGTACGGCAGCGATACCGACGACGACGCAAGTCCCCCCTTGGACTTTACAACATGAACCTGGCTAGGGAAAAACAAGACTGGACGATACAATGAAGGGCGGAAATCTGGGGTTTAGAAAGGCCTTCAGGCGTATCTGAGGAGAAACAACGTACATATACACCCTTCAACTTCCTCTTGATCAAGAAATGCAACTTTGTGCTAAACATGATCTTTTAGATTGTTATATATCTTCCATCTATTCTTCTAGAACAAAACCACCTTTTTCTCTCTTTCTTAACCCATCAACTGCGTAACCAACTTGCCCTTATTGCCCCCATTAAACAACATCATCCACGTCTTGGGCACATCCTCAAACTTCGTCGGCACCACCGTCTCCGTCTCAGGACCCAGCTGAATCTTGCCCTCCTTAGCCGCCTTGACAAGTTCCCCAATCATAGCGCCTGTCTTCCCTTGCTCCACAGCATCCAGCACAATAAACCCCCTGACCTCAATGCGATTACTAACAATCTCAGCCCAATTCTTGACGCCGCTGTCGTCCACGGTATTATACGTAGATACAGCACCGCAAGCAGCAACGCGACCAAACTTCTTCATGCGGGTGAGCATAAGCGACAAGATGTCGCCGCCGACATTATCAAAGTAGACGTCGACGTATCCCTCAGTCGCAGCACGGAGATCCTGCTTGAACGAGGGAGACCGGTAGTCGACACAGGCGTCTGCGCCCAGACTCTCGACCCATTTGCACTTTTGCGCTCCGCCCGCGATACCGATGACGCGCTTGCAACCGACAATGTGCTTTGCGATTTGGACGACGAGGGAGCCCGTGGCGCCCGCGGCCCCAGACACAACCACCGTGTCGGTGGCAGTGGCGCGCGCAATGTCGATTAGACCGTAGTACGCTGTTAGACCTGTGCCGCCGAGGGCGCCCATGAAGTGCGTGGGCCGGATTGCGCCGCTGGGGTCGGTCTGGATGGGGCGCACGGCTTTCGCGGGGACAACGAGGTATTCGGACCAGCTGAGGCTAAAATCTATGACGAGTTGGCCGGGCTTCAGGGAGTCGCTGTTGGAAGTTACGACTTCGCAGATGGCGCCTGAGCGCATTGCTTCGCCCTTTTGGACGGGGGGAACGTAGAGACGCTCTGGCTCGATTTTGGTGTTGATCCAGGCTCGTTGGGCCGGGTCATTGGAGAAGTAGAGGGCCTTGAGGAGGACTTCTTCAGGTCCTGGTGGGGGGAGTGTAGTGGTTTGCAGTTTGAAGGTTGCGTTTTCTCCTTCGATGACGGGTTCACCCTCGGGGTAGTTGGCGAGAACCCATTGACGAGTCTCTTGGCCTGACATTTTGAGAAAGTTGGATTCTACTGTTTGTTCTTTCTGTGTTGTTGGTATGTAGTAGCAGGAGATTGGTAGTGGGGGTTGATAGTATGTCGAATGGTATGTAGGTAGTTGAGTTTAGCAAATCCAGTGCGTGGCCATGACCCACCTTAAATAACAATCGACTACACCACAACCTGTCAAGTGTTAACAGGGTTTCTGTGGTCATCCGAGACTTTCTACGTCTCTACACGTAACAACGTATGCGGTTGACTAACTCTATCCAGTAACCACCGAGGTGTATCGGCTTGCGGTAAATCTCGGCTTGTCTAAGATATCCATTTTTCTCGCCCGCTTTGCTGGTTTGCACTTAGTGCTGTCAAGTAAGTAGGCTAACCATTGGTTCAATTTTCGCCCAGACCTTGATGCGGAGGCATCCGATTGCCGCGTTACATTGATAGGTTGCTCTAATGCCAGCTCAGTTGCGGGACTGGTTGATGGTGGTTCTTGGTCGACCGAAGTACCGAAACAAAATAAGCTCCAATTCAAACAAAGCTGTTACTATAACGTAGTTAGAAAAATACGTTTTTATGTAAAAGTACTGGACTTTACATATAGATTGATACGCTATAGGAAATTTTATATTACTCTACAATGCTCATATATAGTTACACTGTGTGGACATGGCACTGTTTCGGCCAACCACGAGTAGTGGAATGTCCGGATGGACTATCCTGGCATTTGAGCAATGTGGGGCAATACTGCACAATTGGTGATTGCCGCCTCATTCATGAAACAGCATGTTGAATAGGGCTCGATTGCTGGCTACACGCTTCTAAAGAGTACATGATGGCATAGAGAGACATCCTCGTCACTCACCATTTGCCGCCCTTACCCTTCTTCTTATTCTTGCTTTTGTCGGCACCACCCTTCTTCTCCTGAGCGGCTGGAGTGCCCTTGTCTTCTGCTACTACACCTCCCTGAGTAAGGCCATCCATCTTCTTCTTTCCTTTTCGTCCCTTGGGACGGTAGTAGCTCCTGTCACGCATCGGTAACCATCTCTCGGGGTCTACCTTCTTGCCTTCTACATAGTCCTTTGGCATCCTTGATTTTCGTAACCTCTTGGATTTCGATGGTGCCACATTGGTTGGTGTAAGGCTACGTTTCCGTGATTCTGCTGCGAGATTGACCGAGGTGACGTTGCCAAGGGGGACGCCAGCCTTTTCGAGTTCAACAGCGTCGATATCGGATACTAAGCGGTTCGCCTCTGGCAGATATGCGAGGAGATCTGCGGGTATTGAGATAGGATCTGTGATGCTGTACGCTGCGACAAGGCCAGCAATGGCTGCTCGGTCTTCGTTGTCCTGGTCATACAAGCCCTTGAAAATTTCCCCTGCAGACTTGACGTTCTCTGGATTGTGCGTGTCAAGGAGTGCTGTGCCAGCAGCAACCATGAGGGACTTGGAAGGCGCCTCTGTCTTTGATTTGTGGGGTTTCCGCCAATATTCTGCTGCCTTTGCCAACTCGTTCTTTGATGCTCCCGGGCGCCCTTGCTGTGCGTACAACGAAATGAGTGCGGCGATCAGCCCTGGCGCAAAGCGTACATCGAGATCGGACGCGGAGCCGCTTTGTTCCAGACGCTTGAAGAAGGATTCAAGAAGGGATGTAGCAGCAGCGTAGTTATTTGTGATTACGTAAAGTTGTGTTATCGTAAGTATGAGGCCGACATCATTTGGCCTTTTCTCGAGCAGAGGCAATATTGCCTTCAACGCAGCTTTTTCGGTGCTCGTGTTCCTGGTGTGGGCTGCCGCATTGAGCACAGCCGCCATGTTGACAACAGGAGAAAGCGATGGGGCGGGGGTTCCAGAGATGACCTTTTGGGTAGATTCAGCGACACCGGTCACCTTTTGTGACAAGAGTGAGATGACATATTCGTCCTCTCGGAGAATGTTCGACTGGTAGGAGAAGAGCTGATCGGTAACAGGAGGCTGAGGCGACGAATGGAATATACGATGTGAGAGGTAAGGGTTTGAGTGTTCTTTTGAAGCAGCAATGCTGTTCACTTGAGCGATGTAGCGGGTCGAAAGTTCCTTGATGCTGGTGCTGTTAGAAATTATGCAGTACTGTTACAGAGGCATCATACTCAGCGAAAGGGATCTTCGTAGCCAGTTCTTCTGCTTCATCGGTCTTGCCAAGTTGTATCAAGACATAGACTTGCTGTACTGTAATTGGCAGCAACTCAGCCTGCTTCTCTTCCTCGCTCATGTCCGAAAGCGCATTGCACAGGTCCTTTGCGCGCTTCAAGCACACTTGCGCCTGTCCAAATTCATTGCGCGAGATACTGCCGCATGCCGCATTGAATGCTGTCTCGAAAACCTCTAGATCCTCTCGTGTGGGCTGCTTCTTCTGTGCCAGCTCTCCCTGTCCAGTCCATTCCAATTGGGCGTCTACGGCTCCCGAGTTGATTCGAATATCGTACTCCTCACTTTCGACGTTCTGGTCTGCAAGCTCCTTGTAGATCCTGGTGGCTTGAGCGAAGTTCTCAGAACGGTACGCCTGGATGCCATTAGCCACGTATACGCATCCCAGCATATCCCACACCTACCGCTTGAGCAAGCATATGCTTCATTCCACGCCCTGCTCCTGACCCTGCCGCCTGTGCCACTTCTACCGCCTTGGCCGCATTGCCTGTCTTGTAGAGCGCGTATGCATATTCGAATTGCGCCTTCTTCTGGACTTCCGGTGCGGCTTCGAACACTTGTAAGGCGTCTTCGTATCGGTCGAGGTGCAAGAGTGCTACGGCCTTGGTATGTTGCGCATCTTGATCGCCTTTGGACTTTTTGAGAGCCGCATTGGTGGCTTTGAGCACTTCATCGTGGTCTTCGATGCTGGTTTGCGCAAGCAGCGTAGTAAGATCTCTTGTCGAGGCGGCCATCTTTGATTCGCAATTCACTCGACCATCCGTCAGGAAAAACTGCCGAGATGTTGAACAGGGTGAATAGTGCTGGCGGGGCGAGTGCGGAGGACGTGGTGAAGGCACGCGGGGGTCTGAAGGTGGGATGGGGCAAGCAGAAGCTCGCCTAGGGTCCCGGTCGCAAGGGACCGTAGGGCTGATGGCTGACTGGCGCCGTCATACTTGTACCTCATCACTTTGCTTAACAAAGCATATGAGCACACAGTAAGTCTTAATACAGTATGTAATTATTGTGAATTTTCGAAGAAACCCATTGCAATGGAGCTTTTCAAAGAAGCACACTGTTGGTTTTTGTACAGATAATCTAAACTACACCAACTCATTCTACGCCTTGCAGATGCCTCGTCCAGCACAGCATTGTATTTCTCCAAGCAAAACCCATCCCATACATGAAATAATGAACAGACGATAGCCCAAGGCACCCGCCAATGTATCCGTCCAAGAAGTGAAAACACATGTCATCCCCCAAACGCCCACGCTATGCAGAACATCAATTCACGTCCTCGAACTCGTCTTCTTCGCTTTCGTCTCCTCCGTTCGATGCCGCCGGAGTAATCACAGCGGGTGTTGCGGCAGCCGAGGGCGTTGGAGCAGCTGACGATTCCAACTTCACACGCTTCGCATCCGGAAGAGCACTTGGCGTACCGACATCAACATCTTCGAACTCATCTTCGTCCTCATCTTCATCGTCCTCGTCTTCTTCCTCCTGCTCCTTTCTGCGTCGCTCAGCCTCAATCTGAGCAAAGACGGCATCCAGGTTTTGATTACTAGCAATGGCATCACCTCCTTCAGTCTTGATGGTGGGCGTGTCCACCCCGTTGTCCTCTTGCTTGACTGCTGTAGTATTTCCGGCAGCATCTTTGATGACAGTCGACTGAGTGTGCCATGAAGGCAACTGGTTTTGCATGGAGATCTTTTCTTGCCGGGCCTTCTCTGCCATTCGCTGCTTCTCATTCTGCTCGGCACTCGATCCTATCTGGACGTTGATCTTCTCTGGTCCTGTGTCAATGCCCTTCACTGCCGTTGGTCGCAATACAGTCGTCTCTATAACCTCAACCTGAGTGCCTGGGTCGACGTTCCTGTCGCGAGGCAGCTCAATCCTCTCGCTAATTATGTCTGCTGGCTCCATTGCCGGAAGGCTACCCATACTCTCAATCTCTTTCATTGTCTCAATAAGTGGACCAAACAACTTATTGAATTTTGCTGGGGTGTCGTCAATATCGTCTGCTTGAGCGTCTGGATCGATCTCGTCTAGTCGGAACCCGCATCTCGCGCAGAGAAAACCACTGTCGTCCGGTCCGGGGTTGTCATCGGGGTGATCGAGTGCTTGCATGGTTGTGTATGTCGATTTGCATCGCAAGCATTTGAACTCGGGCTTCTCGGTTGTGGGCTTCGCATCCCTCTTGATTCCCTCGTCAATCTTGTAGATCTTGTACTTGATCGAATCGACAGCATGGCGCCAGTCGATGTAGAAGAACTCTCTGCTCGATGCTTTGTTCGCACCTTGGCGCATGACATGTTGAGTATACCTGAGCCTGTCAGCATGGATCGTCATCAGCAGCATCGAAACACCTACGAAGAACACAAACCCGCCTCCCTGAGCTTACCCGCGACCTTGCTCACGTGCTTCGAGTTTTTGCCTGCATCCAGAATAATGGTCATGTCAGCCACAGGCAGCGCGCCGTGGTAACATAGGGCATCCATGATCACAATGTGTTCTGTCTCGTAGAACATGCGGACTACGGTCCGTAGCAACTGCTTCACGACTTGTACGGGATCCTTTGTGCGCTTTTCTACAGGATCCTTCATAGCGGCACCCATGGCGGCGACTGTAGAGAGGCTCCTGAGAGGGCTCTCAGGAGGATAGGAGAAAAGCGATAGGCTTTGAAGGGCTTTGTTCGAATGCGCCGGACCAACGCGCCGACGATGTGGTTTAGCGAGTACAGCCTTTTAAGTGTCGGGACAGCCGGCTCCCTTTCTACTCTTTGTAACGACCGTCCGCACGCGAGTTGACGTGACAGCGCGAGGGTGGATGAGAAGACGAGCTGAAGTTGTAATGTCTTAGGCAGAAAGCTAGAGTAAGCGGTGGTGAGGGCGGTGAGTCGTACCTGCCGCGCCAAGCCTGGAGCTTCAAGAAAATGGTAAACTGCGACCCCACAATTAGTCGTTCACTTGTAGCAGCAGACTCCTTCACCAAATACCTTACTCCATGACCGGCTGCCTTATATCTTGGGCCAAGCTTTCCAGGAGTGTTTTGCGACCATGTCTGACAACGAAGGCCCCCGCCGCGACCACGGCTCGTCGAATGGCGACCGAGGCGACAAGAAGCGCAAATGGGCAGATCGCGATCGCAGAAATGCCGCGCGGGGAGGTGGTGGACGCCAACAGCACGGAAGCCGTCCGAATAAGAAGAGAAATATGGGGCGTAAGGAGCATAAGTGAGCGCCTTTCTTCAACATCAGTCGGCCTGTCTAACTAAGCAAGTTCTTCCCAATTAGATCGACGGGATCGCAATGCCGAACAGCAAGCCAAATATAAAGAGCAGGACGAGAAGGGCGAAAACGAGCGACCAGCTCTACCCGCAGCTTTTCCTGCGGAAGAGGTTGAGGCCGAGGAGCGCAGGCCGAAGCGCAAAGTCGCAGTCATGATTGGTTATTCAGGCACTGGCTACAAGGGCATGCAGATCGACAACAAGCAGAAGACGATTGAAGGCGATCTGTTCAATGCTTTCGTTGCGGCCGGCGCAATCTCCAAGGCGAACGCATCTGACCCCAAGAAGTCCTCCCTTGTGCGTTGCGCTCGTACCGACAAGGGTGTACATGCTGCCGGCAACGTTGTGTCCTTGAAATTGATCATCGAGGATGATGATATCCTCGAAAAGATCAACAGTCATTTGCCAGACCAGATCAGGGTCTGGGGTATTCAGCGAACGATCGGCTCCTTCAGCTGCTACCAGGCATGCGACTCGAGATGGTACGAATACCTTATTCCAACGCACTCTTTCCTCCCACCACACCCTTCAAGTTACCTGGGCAAGAAGCTGGAAGAGTATGCAGAGAAAGAGAACGACCTAGAGGGATACCGTAAGAGACAAGCCGAGGTCACAGACTTTTGGCCCGAAGTCGAGGAGAAGCACATTAAACCTATCTTGGAGTCTCTTGATGACTCAATACGGCCACTCGTTCTGGAGGCACTTTACAACGTTGACGCTGTAGATGCGCAGCCCGGTGAAGACCCTGTAATCGACGCCTCAATCGACAACGAGCATAAGGAAGAGAAACCTGTGAACACTGAAGCAGCTGAGGAGACTGCAATGCCAGATGCAGACGAGACCAATGCCAGTGAACAACCAGTAGACGAGGTTAAGCAGGCCATCGACGCGATAGAGCAGAAGGAACCCAATGTCACTCTCGATAACTCGACCGACGGCACACGCTCTCTGCCCGAAGGCGTCGTGAATCAGCCTGTCCTCGAAGAAGCCATCAAGACGCTCAAAAAGGCCTACGTTGACATCAAGAAGGCCTACCGCATCTCTCCCGAGCGACAAGCGCGCGTCCAAGCCGCACTCGACAAGTATCTCGGAACCCACAAATACCACAACTACACCGTCCACAAAAAGTTCAACGACAAATCCGCCCAGCGCTACATCAAAAGCTTCAAAGTTGCACCCAAACCCATCATCATCAACGACACCGAATGGCTCAGCCTCAAAGTCCACGGCCAAAGCTTCATGATGCACCAGATCCGCAAAATGGTCGGCATGGCTGCCCTAACAGTCCGCTGCGGTACCGATCCCGCCATCATGGATAAGAGCTTTGGCAACGAAGTTGTGCGTACTCCTAAAGCACCTGGCTTGGGTTTACTCCTCGAGCGCCCTGTTTTCGACTCTTACAACGCCAAACTTGCCAAACAGCATGCTCGCGATCCCATTGATTTCAACAAGTACAACGATAAGATTGAGGAGTTTAAGGAGAGGGAGATCTATCAGAGAATTTTCAGGGAGGAGGCACAGGGGAACCAGTATGTTCATTTTTTTCTCTATCCCTAATAGACTTTGGGTGCTAACGAGACTAGATTCAATACCTTTTTTACCCACTTGGATAATTACAAGGATCCGCAGTTCCTGTACCTGACGTCTGGAGGTATCGAGGCGACGAAGAGGAAGCGCGAAGATAAGTCTGTCCAGCGCAAGTTTGAAGAGGATTCTGAGGATGAAAATGCAAGTGGTGGAGAAGGTTGAGCAAGCATTTGACGGAAATGATTGGCTTTATGATACCACATAGGCAATACGAGTGTTGCATGAAGAACGCGTGAGCAAGGTCCCAAAGATAGCAGCCTTAAATGGCTGAATTAAAGTATCATATGGTTTCTTAGCGAGAAAGATTACTTCATGATTCCGGATACTCATGAATCAGTAGAGTATCCCCATCTACACACCTCAACACCTTACACGTTCATGATACAGACCGTTTCAATCTCAAAGCCCCTTCCCATCAAGATACTCCTGCACCCGTTCCAACAAATCCGCCTTCTTCCCCGTGATACTCTGGCTCCTAGCACTCAGCCACTGCTTTAACACAGCAACAGTCTGTTTGCTAATTTGCCCGCTGTTATTGATATCTGCCATCTGCTGATCTGTCATACCACCATCTTCATCACCACCATCCGCCCCCTTAGGCTCCTTCTTCACACGCTTAGCCGCAGGTTTCTTTTCTTCAACTTCGGCATCGGCTCCACCAGGGCGTTTCTTAGCAGTGGGTTTGGTACGGTGTGCAAGAGCTGATTTTTGTTGCTGAGCGTATACTTCCTGGAACTCCTTGCCGTAGTCTTCTATATATTCCCCGCAGCGCTTGTCGATTTGCTTGAAGCGCGGTATGGTCTTGTCGTCTGGATGCTCTGGCAGCTCCTCTTCCAACGCGAGGGCTTGAAGAATGCGGTAGAACCATTGTAAATCAGGATTGGGATATCTGGAAGGATCGTATATGCCTTTTGGTAGTTGGAGTTGCTCGATGATGAGGCGCATCTTGTCTGTTAGGGCATCGGTAGTCTTGAGAGGCTCTTCGGGAGGTGTAGGGAATTGGCGAATGTCATCGGCGAAGGGAAGAGGTACGAGCCAGAGCCCAGGTGGCATGACTTGCTCGCCTTCCTCGTTGGTTTTCTCTTCGGCTGGAATGAGTGCTGCTAGGATAGGTGCAGCGTTACGGCGTGGAATAAACCATACTAAACCCATCTTCTTGGACTTTAGTAGCTTCCGCTGTAATGCCGAGAAGACACGCGTTGAGCCGATATAGTCTGCCTCTGATGGGTAAATGAATGTTGACTTGTTCGTGTTCGCCCAGATGGGTACGCTGGAAAGAGGCTTGAAGCCAATTATACGTATGACAGGTTCGCCGAAACATTGCCGTATCTTCGTGATTTCTTCAGGTGTGAACGTTATCACGTCACCGCCGAACTTGTACGCTTTCCGTAGCTCAGCCTTCTCGACAGTCCGCGCAGTGTCGTCGGCCATATGTGTAGTTGAAGACGTGACTATTTGTGGTTTCTCTCCACCAACCCATACATAGCATGACTTGACATGCTCCTGGCGTTTGATCAAGATGTATCCCTTTACACCAATTTTCAAGTTGGGGCCTAATTCCAGCGGCAACGAGAATAGAGCACGGCGAGGTGTGGCTTTCGAGTTGATTGAAGAGATGAGTTGTTTCAGTAGAGAAATGCCTTCACCGCTCTTCGCAACTTTCGTGGTAGAAGGTATAGAAACTGGTGCATCTGGGTCTGATGGTGATGTTGGATAAACAAGATCATCGTAAAAGCGTGATCTGTCAAAGCTGTGATCTAGTTGTGAAATGGGGAATAGATCAATGGTGCAGCCCAAGTCGTATAGATCGCGGGCTCGTGTGACTGCAGCATCTTTGTCTACTTTGGCTTTGACCGGATAATCGTTGTCGGTGACTAGGAACAGACGTCTTGACGAGAAGTTTGGTGCTTTGGTGGTGAAGATCTGATTTGCGCAAAAAAGCACTGTTGCTATGCTGGCTCCATCCTTTGCCGGCTTGAGAATCTTTTCGGCTTCTTCCTCGTCCTCGACCATGTCTCTCAGTCTTTTAACGTCTTGCGCTGATGGAACATCTAGGTCGGCCAATAGATAGCAGTGCTGAAATGTACTGTCACCGTCTTTCAAGTCTGTTTCCTCTGTGCCAAACAGCAGTATGCCCATCATATCGTTTGGATTTGAGATGATGCGCTGCTGCATTAATTGGTAGGCACATTTTAGAGCGGCAGAGGTTGGTGAGTCGCGTTCGGCTTTCTTGTCTTCTGACTTGGGCGGCTTTTCAAGCATACCGGGACTGACATGGACGGCGAAGAGAACAGCATCTTTAATAGTTTTGTAACTCTATGTCATGTCAGTACAATCCGCAGATACCGAAAATCAATTGACCGCACAGTATCGTCAATTTCCTCTTCGTCCTCGTCATCTTCCTCTTCACCTAGTCGGTTGTCCTGAGGGTCCGTCATAATGGAAAATTGTGGTCAAATAGACGTGGAAGATGCCCTGATTTTGTTGGCCAAGATGGTGGTCGTTTGCTTAATTTACAATCACTTCTACAACGCGGCGGATGAAAGATATAAAAACAAACTCCTACAATTGTCGCATTCAGGTTGGGGCGGCGGGACAACCCCAGGCAACCGTAGGCACGCGCCTTAGCTCCAACGCGACGGCACGTGACCTGCAGCCACAGTGGGGCATCTCAGAGCAGCCGATCCGCAGCCTCGATCGTCATCACTACCAAAGAGGCTGCGATTATTGGTCGAAGCTTTTCCTGCTCAGACATTATTCACTTCGGCGTTCTGGCTTTATGGCAGTCTAGTACACTACATTAGTTTGAGAAGGCGCATTCTTTCTCGTCGTAAACCACACAATGGCTCTGCGGATATCTTGTTCCCGCGCTGCAAAGCGTGCAACTTCCCTCACACCCGCCACATCCGTCCTTTCGTCATACAGTGCGCAATGGAGAAGAGGAAATGCCACCGTCGCCCCGACGCAGGTTACACCGGGAGCAAAGGGCCCAACTGCGATGGTATTCATGAACATGGGCGGGCCATCCACTACTGATGAGGTTCACGGCTTCTTGAGCATGTTGTTTGTATGGCTTCCACTTAGGTGTCAATGGAATTAAACTGACTTGGACAGGCCGACAAAGACTTGATTCCTCTAGGACCCCTCCAGAACTACATCGGACCTTACATTGCAAGGAGAAGAACACCCAAGATTCAAAAACAATATGCCGAGATTGGTGGAGGATCGCCGATCAGAAAGTGGTCGGAATACCAAGCCGCAGAAATGTGCAAGATTCTCGACAAGACTTCACCCGAGACAGCACCGCACAAGCCATATGTCGCGTTCCGTTACGCCAACCCTCTTACTGAAGACACCTACAAGCAGCTGCTGGCAGATGGATTTGGAGGTGGCAAGGGTGGTCGCGCTGTCGCCTTCACGCAATACCCACAGTACTCATGCTCTACTACTGGTTCTTCGCTGAACGAGCTCTGGAAGTGGAGGACAAGACTCGAGGGCAAGCGTGCAGCTGGAGAGACTGGACAGGAAGTGGAACCTGAAGGCGCGATCAAATGGAGTGTCATTGATCGCTGGCCTGCTCACCCAGGTCTCGTTGAAGCATTCGCCCAGCTCATCGAGAAGAAACTCGCCGAATACCCTGCTGAGCGAAGGGACGGTGTTGTAATTCTCTTCTCTGCACACAGTCTACCAATGACCGTCGTCAACCGCGGTGACCCATATCCCTCCGAAGTTGCGGCCACCGTTTACGCAGTCATGCAGCGCCTGGGTATGAAGTACAAGTACCGTCTTGTATGGCAGTCACAGGTCGGACCTCAGCCATGGCTCGGCGCACAAACTTCAGATACTGTTAAGGAATACATGAAGAAGGGCCAGACAGATATGTTGTTGGTTCCAATCGCATTCACAAGCGACCACATCGAGACGCTGTACGAACTTGATAAGGAGGTCATTGGCGAAGATGCTGAGGGTCACGAGGGTGTCAAGCGTGTAGACAGCTTGAACGACAACCGTGTCTTCATCGAAGCACTGGCGGACATTGCCAAAGCACATTTGCAAAGCGGTCAGGCTTGCAGCCCTCAAATGACTCTCCGGTGCCCGAAGTGCACTAGTGAGAGGTGCTTAGCACAGAAGGAATTCTTCGCAAGTCAGACACAGCATATCGACCCTCCTGCAGCATAGTTTATAGATAAAAGCATCGTTGTATATATGTATTAGTAACTTGCCAGTGCCCGAGCCCGCCATGCATGTTATCCTCAGCTATATTCTTCATCCGTAAGGTAAATCAGTTTCCCAATCATTTTTGTCGTGCATATCGCGTTCCTTAAATCGTCTGTGGCTTCGCAAACCATAATGATGAATTGGAAGTAACGGGTTAGGTGTGCTTGCACTAGCATACCAGAAGACAACCAAAGTATGACCTCTTTGAAACAGTTTCATGTAATTCATCATCACATGCTGTACTACAGCAAGATGAGTGCCTCGATACGCGCATTGAATCGCAAGACGACGACGTCTTTCTCTTCTTGGGACCGCTTTGTGTGCCGGCGTTGGCGAACGGGTGTGGAAAGACTGTGTAAGAACTTGGATCCCTGATGCACGAAGGTATCCATGGTGCCTCCTCGCTCAAGAACTTTTCTCTGATGGCCGAGCAAGCCCAAGTGCGGTTTTCGATCTCAGAATCTATGTACTGCTTCGAAAGACCTAGCTGGTACACTTCGATGCATGCTTTGTTTCCACGACCCTCATCTGAATAACAGGGATCCGGTTCCTGTGGCACTGTGCTGTTGACTATCTTGCAGGATGGATCAGTACCGACAGGGTTTTGTGCATTGGTACATAGTCGATATATATCTTTTGATCCAGGCTCTTTGGGGACGGTAGGGAGAAGGCTGATCATGGCTCCTGCCGTGAGGTAGATCGCATGGCTGTAGTATACTGCTCGCTCGCAAAGGCTGAAATCGCTGATTGTACTTATGGAAGGCACTTCGATCCAGTCTTGATGATGATCTGCCTTGATGGTGTACTTTTCTTTGCCGTCATGACCTTGGAATTGTCTAATTTTCAAGAACCTGCTATTCATGCAGCCCCATTGGCTGTAGAAGTGAACATCTCGGTCGACTTGCGCTATAAGATCCCAAATCTCAACAAACGATAAACATTCGGGTGGACATTTGGGTAGGGTTCCGGAGTGCGTAAATGACTCTTCCACTTTTATTTCGAACAGAGACCTCTTTTGCTCGGATGCATCAAGAATCTCTGGGCTATCTTGCAGTTCAAGAGCTTGTAACATGTAAGCTACGAAGCATGGGCACAAGGAGTTTTTGAAAACTCCGAGAAGTTGGAACAGCACCTCCTTGTCAGAGCTGTCGTAATCAACGGCAATAGAGGCTCCATCCGAAGCAATGGAGCGGAGAGAATAAATGCGGTCTCGGGGATTCTCACACTCTCTCCCAGGCAGCAAGTGGAAAAGCGAAATCAGTCTGCTACCCACGACCTTCTGTGACTCACACAAGGCTCCCAGATAAGTGTTGAAAGTTTGCGTCCGAGTATAAACCAGGGGGTGGCTAGTTGATTGACCTTCATTAGTCAGTAGCTTCGAGATCCCTGGAACTTCATCCATCTCGACTTCAGAGTTGTTGGCAAGAAGCCTGAACTTTCTCGCAGAGAGTATCTCTTGTGCGATCCATGCTCTTCTCCAGTATGAATTCTCCGCTAGCTCCTTCCAGTCTTTCCTCAGCTCTTTGTTTCGCTTGCTTAGATGATTGTTCCGTATCCTCAGGGTGTCATTATGTGTCTTGGGCTTCAAGGCGTTCAATTCGCGCCAAAAGACGAAGGCTCGTTCTATCCGATCACTGTAGCCCAACCATCCAACAACCTCTTGGGCCTTCGAGTAGATTTCATGCACCATACCGACCTGGTGGTTGAGCTCTGAGTTGGAGCTCTTACCGTTTCCTGAACTAGAGTTTTGTTTGATGCAAATGTAATCTGTCCAAATTGCGCGCTGCGAAAGGGCATACTTTGGCCGAATTTTATTCAAGAAAGTCCATAGATTCTTGCGGACTTGCAAGCTCTTGCCGTTGACTAAGATTTCTTGCTCATCTCCCTTTGGGCCCCATACGTAAGAAAGACAGTCATGTTCGTCTTCCACACTGGTATGCCACAATTCACATTGAATGAGACCGTCATGCGAGAGCTCAGGCAAGATTTTGAACAACCGAATCGATCGTTTGTTGTGGTCGAGTTTTTTGTGCTTAAATGCTGAGCGATTGCGGGCAGGAAGATCATTGTGTGCCATCTGTTTGAAACGTTGTATGGTTGGGATCAATCGGCATCAAAATAGCGTAATGACGAACAAGTCTGGTATAGGGAAGAGCAGCAAAGAGCAAGTAATATTTGGATAACGTTTAAACGTCCAGAAAGCGGTGAGGTACCTGTCAGTTAAAGGGGGATGGAGGCTGAGCAAGGCAGAGGTATGCACGGCCAGTATATCGGACCAAACGATTGGCTATGAGCTTTCGGATGTGTTGGCCGGTGACTACCTCAGGCAGCGAAAGTGAAGGACCAAACATTGGCATGAAATACCGAGGACTCAGTTCAAGGATTCAGAGTAGAAAAACTGCGATCATTTTTCAGAATCTTCAAAATGCATCAGTTCTATGAGATGAGTCCAGTGAAACAGACTATAGCGCTTGAGCATTGGTGTAACGTCCTTCACCTTGGGTGGAATGCGAGGAGATGCAAGGATGCGATCCTTCAGCCTTCGCAATTAATATTCGTCCTCCTCTTGTGTTTTTATTTAACCAAATCGCCTTGAATGCTTAGAGCGACTGTCAACCGAATGTTTGTGGAGCATGCCTCTGGGTATTTGGTCAATATGATATTCAAGTCATCCAAGGTTTATGTAGTGAGCCAGAGTAACCACTTTTTCCACGTGACATACCTAGTACGAGCGTGTAAAACATGCAGGTAAGGCAACGATGGACTTGGTCCTGAATATCTGTGAAGAAGCCCTGTTTAATTCGATAAATTTATTAGATAGGAAAAGACAATAGCATTTGTTGCGTTGCAATGTTCTAATTGTACACGTCCGATGCTATCCTGGCTTCCGCGAGAGTGTTATATAGGTTGCCTTTCCGTTTGGATGGCGCACTCGGACCATTGCTTTTCGTATTGATGGGGGCGATAATGCTGATGTCCCCGCATGTCCGTAGTCTGTAATGCAGCGGATTTTGTTAGTTGCTGATGAATTACTGATTTTTAGAGAGTGCAAAGATGATTTCGCAGAGAATGAGAATCCCGAAAAGGGTCATCAAGACAATGTTAACAAGGCTGCATGCTCCGAGATGTTGGGTCGGAGAAGATCGGGATATGGTCAGAATTGGCGTTGAGCGGAGCCTAATCGCTTAGCGCGAAAGCGGATCCCCGAGCTGGCGGAGCTGAGCAACTTTTCGAATCAACACCACCACCGCAGTCAACCCCGACTTCACCCCTCGTTCATCCTGCTCGCCCTTCACAATGCTGTCCAGGACAATTAGGCGGAGCATTGCCTCGCCCTTGAGGCGCAATGCCATCATCCCTGTTGCGCGCCCCGCCTTCAGGTCGGTCACCACCGACGCCGCTTCATCGCATACCGACCCGGCCAATGTGCCCTCAGTAAGCAATTCTCCCCGGCGGCCAATTCACGGGTCACAATTGTGCAATGGGTTACTAACTGCTCGTAGGAGGACGACAAGCCCTTTGAGATCCGCCTCTCGGACGAGGCATTCGAGACATATGAACTCGACCCGCCGCCATACACCATGGACGTCACCAAGAAGGAGCTGAAGCAGATGTACTACGACATGGTCGCTGTCCGGTATGGAGTCTCGGAATTCTAAAGTTTCCACATATGATGGCCTTCTAACGCGGGAAATAGACGTATGGAAATGGCCGCCGACAGGCTCTACAAGGAGAAGAAGATTCGGGGTTTTTGCCATCTGTCCACCGGTCAAGAGGCCGTCGCCGTCGGTATCGAACACGCCATTGAACGCGCCGACCATCTCATCACCGCCTACCGCTGCCACGGCTTCGCCCTGATGCGCGGCGCAACCGTCAAGTCCATCATCGGTGAATTGCTCGGCAGGAGAGAGGGTATTGCCTACGGAAAGGGTGGATCTATGCACATGTTCGCCCCCGGCTTCTACGGTGGAAACGGTATCGTTGGTGCTCAGGTCCCCGTCGGCGCTGGTATCGCCTTCGCATGCCAGTACACTAACAAGAAGAACGTTACCCTGGCCCTCTACGGAGACGGTGCTTCCAACCAGGGTCAAGTCTTCGAGGCTTTCAACATGGCTAAGCTCTGGAACTTGCCCGTCATCTTCGGCTGCGAGAGTGTGTAAACTATTCCGCAAATACATGTGAAGTCTACTAACTGGACATAGACAACAAGTATGGTATGGGTACCGCTGCCAACCGCTCATCTGCCCTCACCGATTACTACAAGCGTGGTCAGTACATTCCCGGTCTGAAGATCAACGGGATGGATGTCCTTGCCGTCAAGGCCGCCGTCAAGTATGGAAAGGAGTACGCCGCCGCTGGCAAGGGTCCCCTCGTTTACGAATACGTCACCTACCGTTACGGAGGACACTCCATGTCCGATCCCGGAACCACATACCGAGTAAGTTTATCTACTGTGTGATGTTTGTCTCAAATACTAACAACATGTACCAGACCCGTGAGGAGATCCAGCGTATGCGCAGCACAAACGACCCTATTGCCGGCCTTAAACAGAAACTCCTTGACTGGGGCGTCACCTCCGAGGAGGAGCTCAAGTCCATCGACAAGCAGGCCCGTTCTGATGTCGATGCTGAGGTCGCCGAGGCGGAGAACATGGCTCCCCCAGAGCCCACCGGCAAGGTTCTGTTCGAGGACATCTATGTCCGCGGCTCCGAGCCTGAGTTCCTGAGGGGACGCATTCCCGAGGAGAACTTCTACTACACTGAGCACGACATGGGCGGTGAGAAGAAGCCTGTCGCCAGGACAGCATAAAGGCACCCCCTTTTCTTACGAGATTTAGACGTCCCCCGCACATGAGCCATAGGGGAGCATGTGGTGTAGGGAAAGAAGGGGAATTGTAATTCTAGGATTTTGAAGGCTTTCTACATGCGTGTAAACAGCCAAGGAGCATGATTCGTGCATTGAATGACATTCTTGAAACCATCCTCCTCCTTCTTTCTATTTCGTCGGCACCATGACGATTTTTTTTGAAATTTTCCATCCCCATCATATTTTTGCAGTGTGAAGTATAGCGTGCGTGTTTTGATGTCAAAAGGCGATTATATTGGGGTTTAGTATGACCCCTTTGCTCACCTATGTACGACGGAGGTTCATGTATCTCTCGACTCATAATATCCACACAGCTTCTCTATCGAGTCTTTGACCCCAACGATGATGTTACATATGAGACTGATATGTTGAATTGACATTTTGAAGAATCACGCGGGACCGCTTAGGTTGGTGAACGTATACATGCTGTACCAATGAGACCTAGTTTAAGGAAAGCAAAGAACGTGTAAACTTGTTTGCCTATATGAGTGATGAATAGCTCAGGTCATGGTGTCGTGATATTTTCTCAAGGTGCATCGAAGGAAAAGCCGTTTATGCGGTCTCATACTTTACGCTTGATTCGAGTGCTATGAGTTGTGATAAGATGGTTATTTTCGTCCAGTATCCCTTCTCTAGAATGGGGTTTAGTACTGGTCAATTTGTATTAGGGATGTGATGGCTTGATACCAAACGAGTGAAAAATCTCGAGAAGAGTAGGTATTGGCAGTGTGAAAATGATGGCTGGGGGTTTCTTTTGTCTTTCATCTGTGCGGTATTCCGGTATGTCATTTCGGTATGTATTGGTGAGATCACCAGAAGAGCAGTTATGGAGGAGCATGTGGAAAGGGAGGTTTCTTTTTGATTTACTACCAATGTACGTATAGGGGCTATATATGTGTGTGTATATGTATGTAATCTAGAGGCATGATGTTTTATATACGTGTTTTTTTGGGTTGAAGCGAGTTGCGTGTGAGAAGAGCATTTCCGGTACAAAGACCGTGATGAAGAGTTGTGTTCAGGAACTGGACGGATGCTTGTTAGCATGAAGAGTATGCGTTCTGTGTTTGATGTTCCGTTTTCCTGGGTTGTCGTTTTTTTTCAATTTTCGATTTTTTTTTGGTTGTTGGTTTCTTTGATATGACTGAATTGGTGTCATGTTCTTAGGCTTGGGTTCGTTTTATTCGCAATCTGTTCCGTACGCCTTTTCTCCATTCTACGCCAGGATAATATGTGGCCGAAGGACCAAATGTCTGACAAACGTTGGCGGCTACACTTTGCTCATGTGCAGCCGAAAATGGAGATTGCTGAAGGCAACGAGAAGCGATGCGAAAAAAGCAAAGAAGCAATGAGTCCTGAATGGTATGTACGTAAAGAAAAAAAGAAGATGCGTGTTATGGTTAGTGCTATTAAGATGAATCGCGGACAGAGAACGTGAGAAATTCTTTGTCGTATACAATCCCTTGATTGAGCTACATTGCCACGTCCTCTTGGTTAGAAAATGCAGTACGAGAGAGCGAAATGGACTAACCTGAGATATTCGGAATCCTAGCCTCAGAATTCTTTCCACACGATTCTTCACAGTGCTCGCCGGCTCAAGGTATCGTTCTTCTTCATCACGCTCCCTTTGGAACCATTTCTTAGGAAAGTAGCCATGAGTCCAAATCAGGCCTCGCGTGAGGTAGTCTTCCGGAAGTGGTAACTCGTCAACTCTCTCACCGTCTTCGGGGAAGATGCTGGAAGTGATTACGGTGTCGATGTTCCCTGATTGAGCATGTGGCTGAGATCTCGCCTGAATCTCAGTTTTGACCAATGCACTGAGGACGGTGGCGATCGCAGCCCAAGGCATATCGGTCACTAGATCAGAAACGTATGGGTTAGAAGCAAATGAAGCAGTGAAAGCAAGCATGACGTTTACGTGCGAAAGCACATTCTTATCCCCCAGGCGTCGGAGCGCGACCATAAAGACCTCGTGTGTCAGAGCTTTGGCGTTTCGGAATATTGGTTGGTCAACGAATCTTGACAATTCTTCGGTGATCTTTCCGGGCACGAAGGCAGGCAGTGGTATCTCCTCTTGACCAGAACTTGCTGTTGCCCGTACGTCATCTTTCGCGGTGGTGAACGAAGTATTCTGCTCCTTCTCTTGTAACTGAGAAAGGAATGCCTGGCGAAGAGGATTCAAGTCCATGCCGTATTCGAACCAGCCCGCAATGTTCGAAACGGCGACCCATACGCCTTGATCCTTCCACTTTGCCGTAGCTCGACTGATATAGCTATCCAAGCTGTCCACAAACTCAGTCTTCGCCTTTGAGAACTCTTCTGACGCCCCGTTGTCCTGAACCGAACGTCCCAAAAACTGTAAACCATGAGGTTTGATGAAGCTGACATCGATGGGAAGAGCGTGCGGAAGACTAGCGGTGTTGTGATCAACGACGGGATCTAGAAGAGTCCGGATTGACTCGCGTGCACTTCCAAAGGGCTTGACGCAAGTTAAAGAGCGGGAATAGTAGTACATCTGCTGGAGAGCATTGGGTCTCGCCAGAATCGCCAAATGATGGTATAGACGTCCGACGATTGGGTTCTTGTCGGCTGCTTTCGTATACCAGGACCGTGCTACTCCAGCCCAAGTGTCACGGTCACGGACGTCCTCATCCTCGATAGCCATACGGTATCTTCCTAGATCACCCAAACATTCGATCCAAGTATCCTCAAATGCAGGAACCGTCTCATAAAGTAACGCCATCATCTGATAGGCCAAATATATGAAAGCCAGCATGTAATCCATGCTGTCGGGAAGACGCCGCCGAAGTAACTCCAAAAAGGAATGAATGCCATGCTTCCACATACGTGCAGGCATTGAATATTTAGCTGCCAGGCGACGAAGCGCCGGAGAAGCGGAAGGATGTTGACTAGCTAGAAAGAAATCATGATGTTCGTGTAAGAGGGTGCGGTGTAGAGCTATCAATGCCTGCCAGTGATCAGGGGGTAGCTTTGTGTTAGGGTCCTGTATAGCCGCTGCTTGGGCACGATCAACATGTATGCACTTATTTTCAACCATAGCAAGTCCAGCGTAAATGGACTTGACCTCAGATGCAAGCTGCTCTTGTGATATTGGACGGGAGTCCGGCTGTAACAAAAGGTCAGGGTACCGCTCATCATATTGCGGATGACTGGTAAGAGTGGGTTGACGGGGAGCATTTTGGGGTTTTGGCGTGCTCCGTTGTTGCGTACGAACTGGGGATCTAGGCTGGGGAGACTGGAGCTTAGTGCTCTTGGTCGCTTCGGCCGACCACTCACTGGACAGCTCAGGCGTAGACCGATGAGGCGACGAGGTGCCTTTGGTATTTTGTTTATGATTAAAGACTCGCGGGTCTGGAGATTCTGATGTTACTTTATCCGAAGTAATACGATAGGGAAATCTTCTTGAATAATCCGAGTCACTGAAGTCAAGACCGGAGGGGGTTTTGCCCCGATGTCCAATAGCTTCATGCTCTGCCGGCCTTTTGCGTCCAGATGGAGATGAATTAGGAACAGACGCTTTTCCCGAGCCCAAGGTAAGGGTTGCAATGTCCGGCGCAGAGTGGTCGCCTGCGGTTGCAATGGATGAATGTTCCGTCCTTTTAACAATGTCAGATGTTGACATGGTACGTGGGGGCTGAACTTTCTTACTTCAACTCGGCTGCTAAGTCGTGAAATTTTGCCCGTGCCTGCTGCTGGCCTAATCCGTCAAAGTCCGCAGGATGCTCCGCCTTGCCGTGATCGTACAGCTGGTCAAAGCTCTGGAACACCCGGCCCCTGTGCTCTGTATATGGACACAGATATTCAGTGGCTGCAAGCTCGGCCCGGCCTTTCTGGTTCCTCAGCGTCTTGACGTACGTGGTGTGATGAAAGTCGTGAGCACTCATTTTGTGGCTAGCTGATTCACGTGTAGTTTTCGGATTGGTGTTTTCGTCTGCGAAGTTGGCGTGTGTCTAGCGATCTGGAACGTATGGTGATTGGCGGTCGAAAGTACGCCCACATGAGTACCCAAGCGTTTGCGCACACTCGAGCGGATTGGGAGCGTTATCCCCAACTCACACTTGTGAGTTTCTTGGAATCAAATTTGCGCCTTCAATCTGCGCAATATCGTACATTAGAGGGCCGAAAGTAAAAAAGTATGAAAGACGCAAAAGTCCGGTTGGAACCGAGAATGGGGTTTCAGACGACAGTGACAGCGATCGCGCGTGGGATGAGGCCAACAATCTGAAAGAGGCTGTATGACGTGAAGAGATAGACGTGAGGCCATGGAAGCATCATGAATACTGTTCATCTCAAGCGTATAGAAAGGGCATGTATACCTATCCCGGAGGCTCTGGTACGCCACTAGGCAACAAGGCAACAAGGAGGCAAAGCAGGCAACGGGGCGCTACCTGAAATTTGCACCGGATAAGGTGCGTCCTCCTTTCAGCCCCTACCCTGCTTGCATCCTCGCACCGCACACACTAACAGCCTCTCGCCTTCCGCGCTACACACAATTCAATCCTGAGCTGTGCTTTTTTGCCTTGTTTCCAGCGCAGTATTGATGGGCATCGCTACACTGAATATATGCTTCGAAAATGGATGCCTGCCGAGGCTCTGCCGACAAGGGAGTGCCCAACTCGTTCCGCCCCACCTACCTGCCACGTCTCAATAGTACTAGGCACTAGGTACGTAGTGTAGGCTCAAAGTCTCTGCATGGACAACTGATACCGCCGGAGCTACTTCGCATCTTCGTCTTTACCAGTTGGATGGGTACATGTCACCTGCGCGTAACGAGACACAATCACAAGCCCAAAGACTGGGTGGAAAGAGCATAGTTAGTGGAGTGATCGGAACATACCCATTTCCCAACAGCCTATCCACATGCCCGGCATGCAGTTTCCCGCGCGTCAACCGTAGTACCAGAGCCAACAAAGAAATGCCAGTCTCTGTGGCTATTCAACTGGAATCATACACGTGTCTTTATGCCACGCAAGTCGTTTTAGACTCATGAAAACGAAACATAGCATAAGTCCGGCATTTATTGTAAATGCAATACCTCCCGAGTGGCGTTTCTCGCGCTTAACATACCTGGAGAGGCCTTGTGCTCCGGAAGCTCCAGGAAAACATACGTACAATGTCAAGGAGTGAGACTGCCATCATTAAGGGTCTGGATGATGATTTCAGTCCTCCATTATGGGACGAACCATCCAAAGTAGAAGGAAAATATCGGTCATACCATGGGGCCGCGACACGGCAGCAAACGCATCAGCCCCTCTGCTAGATCCAGCCAAAGGACTCCTCCCTCTTTTCAGACACCACCTGACAATTTGTACGACACTCAAGTATGAGATGGGAAAAGCCTATATCGAATCATACGCCTGCCATTGATATCGCTCCTCAGAATTAACAATGATGATGTTCACCGGACCATGATAGTATCGTCATACTGCTCTCTGGCTATTGGACTCTCTTGGGTTTCTCCAGACCGCCATCCGGTGTACAACAGCTTTGTAGAATTGGTTAACTACAAAGGCCCGTACCGAATACTTCTATCAAAACGGCTGCCTAGTATGGCATACTGAGTGGCCTCCAGGCAACACAGGGTTTCACGTGCAGACAAATGTTTGAGCCACGAAAATGCAAGAACGCCAACATCTTCACAGAAATGTGATCCTCTTACGAAATGATGCGTGAAAGCTGAAATCTGATAGACCTGTCGTTTGATCATATTCGAATGTTGGCATAGAGTAAAGCGGGGTCGGGCGATATCTCTTGTTCCCCAGCCAGTCAAAGCCGCCGCGGAACCCTGACTGCTTCCGCGCCCTAGATCGTGGTGTGACCGCTATTATGCGTCTGTATTTACTTTATCCAACTAACAAAGAATCCTCGTGCATAGATCATAGCGTCATCACAAGGCATCGACGAATAGCCTGTAGAGTAGCAGGGCCACGTTGAGAAGGCTTATCTTGAGGCAGTAGACTGCAGCATAAAACATACATCCAGTTTCAGCCATATAATACTTTTGGGCGGCAAGGCTGAACGGTGAACGTCGCAAGATTGATATCAATATTAACAACGATGCTGAAATATATGCATACTGCAGCCATGTCCCCTTCGTTATCCTTTGGTAGTCGGTCAGCCTACAATATAAAAACAAAATTAACAATGCCTCCTGTTGGAAAGACCGTACCACAGGGATCTGCAGAAATGGTAACTTGCATGGACACGGAAAATCAATTACCGAAGATGGGGGCCAAAACTTTGGGCTCTGAGAGACTCTAAGACTAAACTATCGCTCCCTCCATAACAGAACTGGTACAATCTCGCCGGGCCATCCCCCTTTCGTTGAACGATTTAGTTGCTAAAAGCGGGATATATCGGCGAGAATGTGTGCGATTTTTCGTGTAGGAGTACTATCAGACTTGGGGCTGAAAGAGTGGGGTGAACTATACCGAACCATAGTTCTCTACTAGTGCCGAACCATGCAGTCAGCGTTCCTGAACTCTTACAAATGTGGATCCTCTCTCATGGGAGGCCTCCCCTCCGGCTTGCAAAGTGACATATCCTACTTTTGGATCAGTATAAGGCAAGCAATATATCAACACCAACAACCCACGCTCAGGACACCAGACTGAGCGAGCGTATGACTGGTAAAGCAATATGCGCCTTGGATAAGCCACTCTATACTGCAGCAAAAAGCGTATGGGCTCACATCTACGCGTATGAGGTCATCACATGATCTTTATATATACCGATCAGTGCAGGTATCATAGCATACTACCAATGGCAAAGAGCATCCCCCCACCCTCCCTCCACCTAAATCGGTAAGAACTGTACAACACGTTTTCTATATTATTTTATCTACCCGACATCACTATCAAGCAGGGTTTAGAGAAGCATATATAGTCCTCCAGAATCACGATGCTGCACGGTCATGTTCGAGTAAATGATGATACCGTAGAACGAGTGTTCGAGAAAGGTGAAGAATACAAGGACGGCACTCTACGTAGGTACGATGCGCCACATGCTGCAATCACAATCTCGCATATGCGGATGTGCCAGCCATTTGCTTTTCTGACTGTTGTTACTTTTCGCTCAATCACATCTGACAAGGATGAACAGATGCTTGGCAATGCGAGAAGTCATCAGATTAAGATGGTCCTTCATAGGATGACGCGATCTTGTAAAATTCTGGGCCAATGACTATTTTCTTAGCATCGGCATGATTACACCTACGGGCGAATGGATCGCCAAGGTGGGGGCATCGGTAGTAATCACATTTAGGGCGCGATTCAGGCTGCAACCGTATCTTCTACACTACTAACCTAAAGCGGTATTCTTGTGGGCAATCAGGCAATCGCTGGGGCCGAAACGCAACGAGCTGACTGGATCGGTTTACTACACAATTGATGAGGCTGAAAATCTCGAATGCAAGACATATCACGCTGCTCTGAGTAATACATAGTTCGCATTCTTGCAACCCATCAGCCGCAATCATCACGATCAGGTAGAGAACGTCATCTCCAAACACAGCTGTTGACATGGCGAATGTCTTGGTGGTCAGCTGCAAATGTGTATGTCATACGGCGACTCCGAGTGGAAAGATACAATTGTAATTTGCCTCAGGAATGGAAAAAAGCTCCCAGCCACATGTTCAAAGAGCTGAGAAAGAGGCGGAAACGACACGATGCTAATGGTGCAGGTCCCTCGAGCTGAGGACTATGCGCGAAGCTATAGAAGGGGCGTCGGTCCAATCGTTTTCAGCTAAGGACATGGTCTTACAATATGGCATGAATCTACCAACTGCCGAAATAATATTGGAGTTAGTGCCTGTATCGGATAAGTATATCGATGATGGATCCTTGTGTACACTTTCATGAAATGTGGTGGGCAGCGAGCAGCGATACTCACCGGATGGGGCACGGACAACGTTTTGTGTCATTCAGCTCAATGATCTAGGACAACACTCGCGTCATAGTCTTCATGGAGAATAGACTCACCGACTATGATTCAATAGTATTTGTAAGTATAGCGAAAATTTCTCTCTCGTGTCCACGGGAGGACGCTGCTGATGCTGTAGAAGTGATCCCTCCTTCTTTGCCATTTCCATATACTCTGGAGTTATGCAAAACACACTCATAGGGACCCGAGCAAAAGTTTGCACTCATTCCCGAAGCCTGCTCAATTGGACTGCTACCAGATTGCTGGATCTGCCCTCGAAGATGCTTGGTTCACAGCATACAACATGATTTACCTCAGTCTCTTCTCTACACCATCCGTCTAGCTCACTGCTCCAGCGCATCCTGGTCGAATACGTACGGAAAACTGAGATGAAGGAGCGGTCAGCATGCGAGAAACGCCTCGCAACATCCAAGACAACCCCTAGACCTGAGTACAGCTCTAGCTCAATTACCGACCTCCTTTTACGACACTTCAGGTAGCCAACGCATCCCCCTGAGAATCAGCCACGGCACAGCCTTGAAATACGTGTTCGCTGAGAATGGTGAATCATAGCGATAGGATGGTGTTCCAAGATTCTCATACACTGCTGACGACGAATCAAAGTGGCTGTGCCGCTCAAGACCCAGTGGCAAGGTGGCGAATTGAATCGCCTTCACTGCTGATGGACCTGATCATTGATTCTCATTGATGCGCGCGATAGGTCAATGGCGCTTATTCAGGAGGGTACGATGGAGAGGGAAATAGGGAAATGCCCTCGTGCTTATGAAGGAGCCCGTGCTCATAGTGCAGGCCATGAGTGGGACCTGCGTGAGGACAGAAATGGTCCATTTTCCTCACACCTCAGACATTGCATTCAAGGAGTTCAAGGACAATAGCACTAGGGTAAGTAGGCTGAAGTTTAAAGGTCCTATCGGATAACGCACGCGAGGCCGATGGTTCTCCTCAACAATGGCGCAAAGCGGAGCTGCGAATACGGGGTAGAACGCGTTGCCCCTAAAATGACCGCAGATAGGGCGAAAATTTTCAGCCTTCTGAAGATGAACGGAGTAATTTGATGATATCATGTCCTACGCGTCAACCGACAGGACTCGAATCACCTTATCAAGTAAGTATGCAGAGCGAGAGCAGTTATGGATGATCGACGACTCGGCACCCCGCAGCGTTGCCCAGACAGTGAATCGCACTAGGAGGGCCAAGCAGATGATTTCATAGCCTTAGATTGTGAAGCCGCACGCGCCAAAATCGAAACACATTGCAAAAGCCTCGAACAGTCCATCCGAGAGATTGAATGGAATTGGAATTCAAGGAGTAGATGACACAAGCAGTGATATGGGCCAGCCGAGGCAGACAACGTGACAAAAAGAAGGGCCGACTGGGGGCTACGCTGCGATCTGCAGACGAGATACTATATATAACGGGCCGTCCGGAATGCGGAGCACAATTGATGCAAGAACTTCGCGTTCTGGGCACCCGTAAATGACTGAGACGCCTGTCCGCAGAACAATTGCTGCACCGGGACGTCTGCACTGAGAGAGTCCTCGCCAACTCGCCCCGCATGCCATTTTCCAAGCTCAGCGAGCAACAGCAAGCTTTTATTGCCAATCGCGCCAGAGTCTGGGAAGTAAGACGCTTTTGCCAAGTGTTACCCTCCGTCGCCAAATACGTGCGCGGAGTAGACACTAGCTTTACAAGCAAGCCATCAAAGCTAGATGAGTGCTCGGAGAATGAGCCGGACGGCGCGCTTGCTGCCCTGCTACGATGTCTGGTGCATCGAACGGGCGCCGACTTAGCCATGATCAGCCTGTTGGATGATCACACCCAGTATTTTGTATCAGGCGCCAGCCGTGCCAACTTCAACGACATCAAGGTCACGCTTGGTGAGCATGCCGAACCACACAGTCTCTAGACACGCTCTTCCCACTTCCTAGGCTAACCACGCCAGAACAGACTCGACTAGATGGTATGGCTGCGAATCGGTTTCCCATCATGGGGGCCTGTGCGAGCGCACCATCACAATGCAGAACCTTCCTGGAAACATGGCCTTGTATGAGGAGCTCGACATGGCTCAAATAGACAGGACTAAAGATCTGCCCTTTGTAACAGGTGACATTGCCAAGTTTCGGTACTATGCGGGCGTCCCTTTGAACCCATACGGCGGCCCAAACATTGGCACTGTCTTTATCTTTTGCGAGACGCCGTCAGAGACAGGTCTCTCTGACGCAAATCGTGCGTACATGTTCGAAATAACCTCGCACATTATCAAACATCTTGAACAAGCCGTCGAGGCATTGGAGGGCAAGAGAGTGATGAAGTTCAACAAAACCGTTGCTTCGTTGTTGGATACTGAATTGTCGTCAAAGCTTACTGCGGACGCCCTGAATGAATCAGCTTCTGGTATTCAGGCTGAGCAGAATGATGCCATGGTATCCAATCTGTATACTGAAGCTACCTTGCGTCTCTACCAACTGGCAGCAAACCTGCTCAATGACACTTTTGAATTCGACGGCGTTAGAATTCACGAAGTAGATCAATTTGGAAGTTACACCAACCACAACCCAGATTGGAATGGATCCAAGATCTTAGCACAGCATCTTGGGCCCATGGAGCAGCCGCCTGTAGATCCATCACAAGCCTTGCTCGAGAGACTACTGGACATGTTTCCGCAAGGCTGTGTGATTCAGATGCTGGAAGGTCCAGACAGCATTGTTGCCGCTACAAACGCAGGCAAAGTAATGCTTGTGATAGACCAGCTCATCTCCACTGAACTACCACAAATTTTCCCAAACGCCAAGCAGATAATTGTGATGCCCTTGTGGGACACACATCGCGAGCGCAATATAGGGGCTGTTCTGGGCTTTGCCAACGACCAGTCCAGAGTCTACCTAGGATCAACAGATCTTTGGTCCATCTCTGCGCTCTGCACAACACTCATGACACAGGTACGCCGTCTCGAAGTGCAGGCCATGGATAGAATCAAATCTGATTTTCTTGGTTCCATGTCCCACGAAATGCGGACGCCTCTGCATGGAATCCTTTCGGCACTGGAACTCCTCTCTGACACGCCTTATAACGCTGATCAACGGGATCTCCTGGAAACCGCACGATACAGCGGCATTTCACTGCTCAACACGATTGAGCATGTGTTACATTTTAGCAAGATCAGCTCTACAGCGCGGGTTCTAGATGAGACACGCTCGAATGGATCGAGTATGTGGAGTCCGCAGCAATCTAGCCCCAGATATACTCAGACGGCGGCTATGCCCACCAGGAAGCACACATCGAAGATGATCAATGTATGTGAAGAATCATTTCAACAAGAGACGAGAAGGCTTCGCCTCAAAGATGCCATGCAGTCTCAGTTTTCTAGCCCCAGTCAGCGCTTCTACAGTCGGGCGTCATCACCCTCACCATCAGTACGCTCAGATGGAACGAATCATCACCCCGTCATATTGTTCGATACGAATGTTGCTTCTTCCTGCGTCCTTACGGCTGTTGCCAGCTTCCGGGCAGTCTTCACACACTTGCTAGTAAGAAAGATGCCTTACGCATCCCCACTGTATGTAAGCTGACAGGCGTAAAGAACAATGCCATAAAATTCAACTGTCCTACAGGATGCGTCCGCGTGTCTCTGAACGTCAACGAGACGTCATGCACGCTTTGCTTCACCGATGCAGGTAAAGGGATTAACCCGGACTTTCTTCGCCATTCCATCTTCGATGCGTTTTCGCAGGAGGATCCTCTGGTTGAAGGAACGGGACTCGGACTTTCCATAGTCAAGCGCACAGTCACTGCGCTGGGCGGTCAACTTGATGTCGATTCCAAGGAAACACGTGGCTCTACATTTACGGTCAAGTTCCCTTCACAGCGGGTGGTCTTTGATCCAAGTCACGTGCTGGAACTTGGAGGCAGCAGCCTACCTGAGCTCCAACTGAGCGTGTTCGCGCCAAGCCGGTGGACATCAGAAGGCGGGATGAGGGGCTCTCGGTGTACCGAAATGCTTTTGGCGTCACTTACCCGAAGTCTGAGTCGATGGTTCCAGGTGACAGTCACACCATGGGAGTCCTCCAGCACGGACTTGCGGCTGCTGATTGTCTTAGAAGAGGACTTGGCCGATGCAAGGCGAACGTATGGGGATGCATTTGATCACGCCCGATGCATTGTGCTTTGTCCGGACCTTCAGGCCTCCCCCATCCCAGGTATATCACCTCTGGAGGGTACCACTTCTATCATTGGCCCGGTCA